GCTGAAAGAGTTAACAAACAAATATCCAAAATAACATTGTGTTTTACTACATAAAAACTTGCAATTAATCACTACAAAGTTCTACGATTCATGATTCTGAATAACTACACAATAACTAATGGCTGACCCAATAAAGATCTTGAAGATATCCTGAAACATAGAAATAACACATATCAAAAAGTGTTCTCCAGTTATGTAGAAATTCTGCTTGTTGAAAATAGTGGGAGAAAAAGCTCAAAGTCAATGACTTTATACAACTAATATTTGTTATATATTATAACAAATGACTTCTTACCCACAGCATCAATTCCATTTTCTCGTGCACGGAGAGCAAAGGGGGAGAGGTAGGTAGCATCAAAGGCTAGTCTTCTTGCTTGTAAAGCCAAAGAATTGACTACCTGTTGAACATTCTCCACACATTGATCCTAAAATTAAAAGTTAAATAGATTGATCATTAAAAAATAATAGTTTATCAATTTATTAGGTTTTGTAACACTGTACAGAATTACTGGATATATTTTTCTAAAGTTACAAATGATAATCCTTGAGTGGCAGGAATTTTACCTGCTATAAGAAAATGCTTATCACAGGGTTTATAAATTACTTTTCCAAGTGAAATTAAGGACATTCAACCACTTTTTATGACCACACACGTTAGAACTTCCAGGACCAAAAAATCATGCCATGCTATGATCCACAAGCATTAGAAACCAATGGGCCTAAAATTTCTAATAAAAAAATCTTTAAACTGTAGATGCTTTTTTACCCTAAATTCTCCTTATTTTGTGCATATCAGCTTTGAGCATTGAAACTTTATTTTTTGATACAGTATGTATAAAAGAAGATACTACAGTTTAAAATGAGATTTTTAGAAATAATATGTTACCTACAATGCCTACTGCTGAATACCTGAACACCAAGTACATGTGCAGTGGTAAAGGGGATATTTCTAAGGCTAATGAAATAAATTCACTGCAAAAACAGACCACTGAAATAGAAACAAGTTTCTTTTATCTAGCAATATTTCGAGCAAGTTCTCTTCGTCAGGTTTAATACAACAGCATAATGCCTCTTAAAATACAACAAAATTATAGTAAAGGCTTTGTAATGGATAAACCCGTGTTTTATTTTTTACTGATTTTAGTTTGACCTTTCAATGTTTTTGCAGATTCCAGTTCTTCTGAAAACTATCATTTTCACTGTGATGCCAAACTTAAGAAGTTTTTCCAACATCTATAAAGCTAAACAATAAGCTCATGCATCATTGAACGTTTAGAAAGAATAAAGTATTTATTCACTTATCAGTCACTGTTGCAAAAATACTGTGTATACTTTTCCAACATTATTCGAATAGGCCTAAAATTGGTTATAAAATCATGTCAACTGTGGATGTTTTATTATTATTCCAGACAATTTAGTTTTGTTGTACATATTCATAAGCATGTTTACAACAATTCTGGAGCCTGAAGTGTTGTATCTATAAGTCATGCAATTATTCAAATGATTTGTAATCAATCAAGAGAATGTTGTTTTAATGTTAGTTGAATAAAGATTTATTAACACAAAAAAAAATTTACAGGCTGAGGTTTCAGGCTTGTTGCATTGGACACTGGAAGATATCAGTGGACAGAAACAACTACTAAAGTTGGTACTTCAATAATCTATACATTCTGAAGCACTCCATCATCTCCACAACCTTCCAACAGCTGGACATTTTGGTGAATAAAACCTTATATTTCAATGTGGTACTTCAGCCTGTAAGTTTCACTTTTCATTAAACCAAGGGAATTGAATTATTATAACTCATTATATTTATTACCCAAATGTGCATATAGCCTAATTAAACACCTAGCATTTTGAATATTCTAAAAGTAGCCTAAATTTAAAATCATTACAGAGTTTGGTGAGTGTGTGTCTTTTTCCCAAAAAAACCTGGATCATTTCTTATATATAAAAATAATTTAAGTGATTTAGATGAAAGTCAAGTGTTTACTTAAAAAAACACCAGAAACAGTGGACCTTTCAGAATACTGGAGTAGTTGCTCACATTTTACATAAAACACACAAAATAAACTGCCTGTGAGCACCCTTTGCCACCAATGGAGATACATTTATATATTTTACACTGCTTAAGTTGAAAATTATATTTTAGAGCAGCAGTTTTCAACCTTCATGGCAGTGGAAAATATGCAATTTTTACATATCATGAATCAGGCAAAAACACATGAAACAAAATACGATCAACAAACATGATTTTAATTAAGTTCCCTAATTTTGGAACTTTTTAAAAAATTGGTATTGCTAACATTTTCACAGACTGGTAAGTTTTTAACTGTGGATCGGTGATTAGATACCATTGTTTTGAAGGCTAAAAGATGATGATTTTGAGCTAATTTTGAATTACAGTTGGAAGTCATCAATAAAAATTCTACAACCAACAGACCCTACAGCTTTAAATAAAAGAAAAATTTGATTTAAGAAAGTTAACATAACTGACATGTACATTAAATGCAATTTAAAAAATAAGCCTAAGGCACATAGATATCAAACTGATAGATATATCACAAACTAGAATCTTTATTACTTGTAATAAATACATGCATATCATTCCTAAATCTAATAGCGATAATCAGTGTCTTGAGTTTGAAAGTTGTCAAATTACTAGTTAAAAAAAAAAGAGTTTAAACATCAAAATGAAAAGAGGAGAGTTATCATATGGAAAGTAAGTTGTGCTCAACTTGGTTATAAGCTTAAAGGTTAACTCTAACACTACATTTGATAAAAATCCACATGAATGGAGTTTATAGTAGACACTAAGCACAAGACCATCGGTTTTGATGGATGTCACTAAGAAACAAAATATCCCTCTCTAGACTTATTAGATTTTGACATATCTTGATCTTTGATCATATTGTCACTGGTCAACCTTACTTATGTTGAAGATCTCATGATAGCCAATCACCTAGATTTTGAATGTTAAAGCAAATGCTGTGCGGTGTAAATGCATGCTAAATGTTACAAAATGTGCATGATCATTTGCACGATAGAATATTGTATTATAAAATAATATAAACTGATTTTCATCTTTGACATACGTTGTTGTAATTTTCATATAGTAATTGTAAGCACTTGCTTACTGTCACCTACTCTAAGCTTAGAAAGTTCTTGTAGTATCATGTTTTCTGGCAAGTTATCAAAAAGTCCATCTGTGGCTACAAGAATCAGGTCACCTTCCTGGACTTGAAATGATGATGTAACTGCTGATTCAGGGCTAGAATCAAAATATTAACATAAAAAAGTTGAATAAAACTAACCATAAACACAGTTCCTTTAACTAAGGAACATATAAATCAAATTATTTTAACATACACACTAATAATAATATTCAGTACTTTCTAATTTATTTCATGTTAATAGACTATTCTTTAGTTCTTAGTATTTTATACATGTAATTCTTTTAAAGAACCATATATTATTTTTGCAACTACTTCAACATCTTTTAATTGTGCAGTAAAATGCTTAGTGTTACAGAAAAAAAAAATGTTTAATTTACATTGCTTAGCTATTACTTCTTACAACTTCAGCTGAGATTCTCAACCAATCAGCATGTAGAGAGAATTTACTGTTAATAACTTGTGACCTTATTAACAAATAACCAACAGAAAGTTACCTATCTGTATTTACATTTCCATCTACAAACATTATCTTGAAGAAACTTGACTTCAATCAAACTTTCTGATTAATTTTTTTAACTATTATTATTTCCAACTGTACAAATTGTAAGAGGACAATGTGGTAAAGCTTAAACATTCTTTTTTTTACTTAAATTAACAAAGCAAGCATTTTCTTGATCTGAAAATGTATTTCAGATAGATACTTACCTCTCTGCACCACTTAGAGCTATTACTACCTGTGCAATTCCTGCAAATGCTGCCTGCCATGAACAAACTACTAAACGTCTATGTGTATTATGCTAACCTATGACATAATCAATGTAATGTTGTATCAATAAGAGGGTAACACAACCCCATGTGCAGTAATCCCTGTGAGCACTAGCACATGATCAAAGGCATATTCTTAATGAGGCAAAGAAAATGCACCAGAAATGAGATGGAAGGGTGGGATGGTGGTGCAGAGAAGTAAGTACCTATCTCACTTTTTTTTTATGTTAGGAGAATTTTAAATTGAGAAATGCTACTTACTTCTCTGCATCACTAAGTGCTAGAATCCCACTTTGAAAACTGAGGAGGGACCAGTGCTAATCAATTACAAAGATGAGCTCCTTTCCAAAAAAGTGCCAGAAAGGGAAACCACCAAGAGTGTGATTTCCACAATCCCAGGAATTACCTAGTGGAGTAGCAACCAGAAAGAGATTGCAACCTTCACAAACAGGGAATACTCTTTGCCCAGTTTGTTGTTATTTATTCATTAATATATTTCATGTACAAAACAAGGAAATACACAGGAAAGTTAAATCTAGTGCCGGTGGTAATATGTCATAAATGTGGGAAGAATGTTAGAATATGTAATGCAGATAGGACTCTAGGCTATTCCACCTTGGTGAAACACTTACATGAGATAGATATAATCACAGATGTATGGAGGAGGAACTCTCACCTGCATCCCAAGTCTCGTCTGGCTGGACATATCCACTGAGATATATTGTAATGAAGCACCCTGTACTACAATTCCAAGGAACACTGCAGCCCTACATATCAAATGAGGAATGGGACTAATCAGTCTCTTACTGTGGGGGGGGGGGATAGGGAAGTACCGTACATGTTGGCGTATAAGGTGACCTTTTAACCTTAAAAAAATCCACCCAAAAATTGGGGGTCGTCTTATACTCCGGGTATAAAATGTGAACCTTAAATTCTGTGGTGAAGTTTTACAATGGTTCTAGCATATAAAGCAGATGGTGCCAAAATAAAAGCAATGGTTACTTTTAAAAGAAAAACAATGCTGAAAATCAAGTTCCTTGTTGGAGTTTTTGTACATGTCTACAAAAAAAAGGCTGGATGGATGAAGAAGGGATTAAGCTATGGCTTGATCATGTATGGAGTAGGCAACTAGGTGAACATCATAAACAACGTAGCCTGTTGGTGTGGGATGTATTCAGGCTTCATTTAACTACCAACACAAAGAAATGTCTGGCAAGAATAAACACAGACACGGCAGTTACTCCTGGAGGATAGACATCATTGGTGCAACCACTGGATGCGTGTCTCAACAAGCCGTTTAAAGATCGCAATCGAGAACAGTGGAACGAATGGATGGTTAGTGGTAAAAAGTCATTCACAAAAAAGTGGCAATATGCATCCTCCACAGTTGGATGTCTTGTGTAACTTTGTCATAAAAGCCTGGAATGATATAGATGTAGAAACAGTAATCAAGTCTTTCAAGAAGTGTGGCATTTCAAATTCATTGGATGGTATGGAGGACGACTACTTGTGGTAATATGAAGATGAAGAGGAAGCAGAAGTTGAAGCCACGCAAATGTCAATAAAATATTAACCTTTATACATTTTTTTAAACATATTATGTGTAAACTCATTATAAAATGTATTGTATTGAATTTATTAAATATATTCGGTAAGCATATACTTTCTTTTCACTCAAATTCTAATGAAACAACTAATGCACTATAATAAATGATTTAAATTTATACTGGAACAAAGACTGGTGTAAACAATACGAACAAAGTCATCAGCTACTGAAAACACAGCACCCACTCATGAGGTATTGCAGACTGTGGTAGTTAACCGACAATATCTACCCAACGTTTTTAGGTGACATTGAACCAAAAATACGACTGTAACCTTAAAAATTAGCACGATTTGGGGGGGGGGGGTATACGGTAAGGGTTCTCCCATGCTCCACTAAAAGAACAAAAAAGAGGAATACGTGGTAGACAAAAATCAGTGTGTGTATGAACCACTGTCATCAGGCAGAAACATCTGGAAATCAGTCTCCACCAAGAAACAGTGAAATGGGTTATTATGACTAAAGACAGTAAGCATGAGCCAGGTGTAAGTGCAGGACTACACCTGGTGCCATCTGTTTTTTTTTGTAAAAAGTGCCAAAAACAGCCATATCAAATGTATAGATATAATGCTAAAGCAGTCTTACAGAAAACCCCCTTCTCAACAGTGGGCACTGAGCAGGGGTGGATGGCCTATGCTACATGGTAACCTCTAATGATTGAGACAGACAGACTTTTATTGAAAAATCTGTTACAGAAAGAAGTAAAATGTGGAAGAATAGGATGACCTGGCCAAAGAAAGCAGCAGTAAACAGCCATTTACGTTAATAGAGGGTGAGAGTAGAATGCCTACAAAAATGAGAGAGAAAACAGGCTACTCTACAGGAAAATCCCATGTCTTGCAATAGACCAGACAAATTCTATGCATGAAGATGAAGGTATGACACCTCAAAGTGGATAACCAAAGTTCATAGGGGGAAGGGGGAGCTCCAAAGAGGGAGACGTTTGGGTTTCAAAGTGGGAACAAATCAAACTGAAAAACAAATGATGTAAAGACCACTCCATGGGATGGATCTAATCCACACAAGACATAGCAAACTGTAAGATGAATATGACAACTGTAGGCTCAATAGAGGAAGTCCAGAGTGAGAAAGCACAGGACCCAACAGCGGGTGCCTCCTTGAGAGATGATGTAAGAAATTATAATACAGTCGTCCAAGTGGTTTATCACAAGATGATCAGACAACTAGGACCAAAGAATATGCTGAAGTCATCTCCAGAATGTTGATGCGCAGAGGGTGTGGTGTCTTGTCTAGAGCCACTATGAATTGGAAAAAGAGGTGCCAGTGGAAAGATACAGGTGGGGGGAGGGGGGGGGGAGTGGTACACCCTGGTTCACATTGGAGATCAAGCCAAAACAACAGAAAGGGATATAAGGTACAGATATGATGGTGAATAAGGGCTTCTGGGACATATTCCACAGATCTCTCAAAGCCCATTAAATGGGATGCATGTGTGCATGACTGAGAGGGATCAGGGCTTCTAAGGAAGTAAGCATCCCCAAAAGCAACAGAACCTGTTGCACAGAAAGAAAAGGAGATAAAAGCATCTTGGAAACCAGTTTCTATGGCACAAAGAACAGGATTGAGCTCAACCTGTGCAGTAGTTATGGAAAACTCCCAGGTGGACAATTTTCTGAGTGTGAATTGAAACAAACTTAGAAAATTTTACAAGCCAGCCCAGGCAAGAGGCCTCCCAAAGAAGACTGGAAGTAGCAACCACCAAGTCCTGACAAGATGTTGCCAAGAGAAGTCAGTCGTCTAAAGATGCATGCTCAAGTGAAGGAACACATTATCCAGTTAAAAACATAAGGGGCCATGGCTAAGACAAAAGGAATGTCACATAATTGAAATATTCATCCATTGTAGACAAGCAAGAGGAAATTACAGGACAGAGGGTAAATGAGAATATGAAGAAAGGACCAAATGTAAACTGTGAAAGCCATTCATCTAAAGTTACGGAAGAAGGAGAAAGTGATTTAGAGATGACAGGGTGCCAATCTCTCATCTTCTAGGGGATGACAAAGAGACGGGAATAAAAGCCCTGAGTGGAGAAGGAGACAGATTTTAGAACCCCCACCACCAACAAAGTGGACACCACATTCTGAAGACATTGAAGATGCAGGGAATTGGTAGGAAGGCGATAGGAAGCAGGAGGTAGAGTATGAAAGAAGAGAGCGAGGCCTGAGAAAGAACTTGTAGATCCAAGGATCACTGCAGAAGATTGACTACAGATGAACAAAGTGGGAGAGGCAAGCACCAACAAGACCAAAGAATAGTCACCATAAAAAACTACAATGGCCTGGAGGAGGGGGGTTGAAGAACAGAAGCTAGAGGAATGAGAAAAAGGTGAGGGGTTAGCCTAACACGAAGATGGGTGAAAAGCTGAAGAATCTGTGGATGAGTGAGGTGGGAACTCAGGGAAGATTGTTGGTAAACAGCTTCCACCTAAGGTCCCACAGAGTCAAGAATACCCCAAAGACTTGGTCAGTAAGACAAAGGGCAAGAAAAAGTTCACAGAGATAAAAGGAATGTAGATGGACACTCAAAAGGAAAGCATCCTGACAAAGGAGATTAAATAATAATAATAATAAACTAGGTTAAAATAGAGACAGTAGATAAAGAAAAAGAAGCTAAAGTGGAAAACAAATAGGAAGAGCATTCCCAACAAAACTATCTGGGTCACAACGAAGAGCCTCAGGTAGGAGGTGAAAATAAAGATATAGCAAGGGAGCTGGGTAAAGGTAAGGCAAAGTTAAGTAGACTATTAAAAAGAAAGAAACAAAGATAAAAAACAGAAGGTTCACAATCATAGGCTATAGCATAGGAGTTACAAAGACAAGGAAAATGCTGATCAACAAGAAGTTTGGAAAAAAATTATCAGCATATGTATGAAAAGAGAAATTTAAAAGATGGAGAATCACAAAGCAAAGAAACTTGAGAGGCATTGAAACTGAGGGGCAAAAGAGAAAGAATGTCTGAGTAATGAGCAAAACAAACAAGGAGGAGGCACCTGTTCCTCATCAGGAAGTGAAGAACCACAAAAAAGCTGGTCAAAATCATCCACAGATGAGGCAGGCTCTACTGAAGATAAAGAAACAGAACAACAAAGAACCAACAATGAAGAAGAAGCAGGCAAAAGGGAACTAACCACCTAATATGCAATAAATATAACATCATGAACATGACAGGTTTAGTCTTGAAGATGAACATTAGAACCTCTGGGCATATAAGCAATGTAGATGTGCAAATTCATAGTAAAGAGTTGACAACTTTTTTTACTTTTTTATTTTTTTTATATGGAAACAATAAAACAAATACATGTAGTGATTATAAGGAATATGAAATTGCAAGCAGATGGAAGGAATGTCAAAATAAATGAAAAAGTTCAATTAAAATAGCAGGATAACTGCAAATGCACTGGAAAAAAAAATTACATTTGAACACAGGCAATCCCAAGAAAAGAATGAGTCTATGATCATGTACTAGTGCTTATGGGAATTACTGCACATAAAGGTTGTGTTGTCCTCCTATTGGTGTAGATCTACAGCATTATGACGATTATGTCATAGAATGGAATAATACATGTTTAAACACGTAGGGGAGGGAGTTTGTTCAAGGCTTGTGGCATGCACAGGATATTCCATGGCAGTTGCACTCAAGATAATAGCTCTTAGCAGTGCAGAGAAGTAAAATTTCTGAATTACAAAGTCATATTTTCTTGTTCCTATAGCAAACTGTTCACAACCTCATACTGCACCTCGGTCAAAATTTAAGATAATTATCAATATTTAATAGATACAATTTTACTTGCATGTAATAAATAATTATTCATTGCTTTTGTGGAAACATACTCCTCTCTCTCTGTTTAAGCTAGCCCATATTTTACCAGTTTTCACCCTTGTACTGAAGAAACTAATCTGTCAATGCTTGATTTAGCTTGGTTAATGAGAGTTGATGTAACTTGAAACTACAGTTCCCATTTGCTCATGGTAGCAGATTTGGAATACAGTATGAACAAAATGTATTTCATATAATCATAGTCACTGAACCATTTAAAATTTCACTACCTCAAAATACAAATACAACTTACCTATCACTTAAAACTTGCCCTGTCACACTTGGAGGAGGAAGAGATAACTGATAAGGAGTGTTAAAATAATGGGTCTGTTCTTCTGATCGATGAATAATTCGGCCTTGTCGTACAACTAAAAATCCACTGTCTCCTATGTTGGCAGTGTATACAGTGTGGTCTGTTCTGTTAAGTATTATAACACAAGCTGTGCTACTACCTATGTATATTATAAAAACAAATGGTATTTTGAAAACAAAGATTAAACAACCTATAACTAAATTTACTTTTTACATTCATTTGACAAGATGTAAGTGAAGTTGAAGTATTTCTTTACCTCCCTACATTTTAGATGTGCAGAGCTTTAGATAACATTCTGTGTATGAAACCACATGTGAATTTCTGATCTCAATGTAGCTTAATATTGTATGCTTTATTTTTAAACAAGGTTAACAACCACTCCAGACATCTTTCTCCCAGTTTCGCAGGTCTAAAAAAACATTAACAGTATTCCATCATGATATATGAATAACAAACGTCATGAGCTACATTATTTGGAACTGTGTCATTTACACATATTTATAAAAGCAGTACAGTTTGATAACAAAATAAGCTATCTGACCCTGTTTTTTAATGTCAAGCTTTTCTGAAGAGTCGTCATACACATTTTCAAGGGGTGGTCCAGAAACTAGTAAAAGTTAGTATGAGTCAGGGATTTATCTCTCTTGAATATGTTTATTTGGATTGGTCATCAACACAGGTAATCTAAGGATTGTATAATACTGTATTATGATTACAGTGACTTAAAGTTAATGGAATAAAACAAGATTATGGCGATTTTTTCTTGATTTTGTTTTTGTTCTATGTGAAATTTTTTTGCAGATCTCTACCTGAGAAGCCAATACAGCCATACAATATAACAAGTCTGACAGTAAATTTGAGACTTAAGATACACACTTCAATGTGAATAAAAATTTTGTTATTTTAACCCTCTCAATGGGTAAATTAAATTGTGCACATCATGTGCTCATACAAAGTTACATTCAAAATTTAATTAAACTACTTTGTTACCAATGTATAAGAATAAACTTGGCATTAAATCATAGTTAATAAACAAATTTTAATACTATATAAGTTTTGTTTCTTGATTTTAAAAGGAAATACACATATAAATCCTCAATCTCCCCTTGTATAAGAGTTGTGACATTTGTTCTCTAGGTCTTACCCATTTACTAATTTATTTACACCACCCCTTTCTGAAGAACAGAGTTTAACGTAAATTACTCATTATATAGATATTATTAGGGCAAAGACTAATTTTTGTAATTTTCAATCTTCTTTGTTTATGGAAACAAACTACACAGCCAGACCCACCTGTCACATCCTCTATTTTGCAAATTGCCAATAATTATCTGACATTTTATATCATTTAAAAACAATGAAAAGATGGTTTTAATCTATCAAATGAAGTATTATATTACATTATTTTCAGTACAGAGTATTTTCTATTTTGCCTTTTGTTTAAAATCTTCTCTCATAGTGTTCAGATCAAGAAGCTTAGGAAAATATTTTGAGGATCTTATGCCATAGTCAGAAAGCCAGTTATGTTATGAGATATTGTATATTTTGTGTGTGTTATCATTCTGTATTCTTGGGTGCATTATTTAAGTAAATAAAAATTGTTTAGTGTACTACTACCATCTTTATAAAAAAAAGTAGGCTTAAATTTCATGGAGAACAGCTATAGCATTATGAAAATTACATCACAGGCTAGCACAATAAATGTGCATATGTATAGGGGTGTGAATTTATTCAAGGCTTGTGGCACATGCAGGAAATTCCATGGCAGTTGTGTGCAGGGTAGTATCTCTTAAGGGTGAAAACAGGTAAGTAACGTTTCAGAAGGAAGTACTTCAACTACTTGGATAATTAGAACCAGTAATAATCAGAAATACTTATTATGATTAGTTGAATATATTTTTATATTGTGGTATACTCAGTTAGAATTAAGGTAACCACAGAGTAATGAGATAGATCTATTTAATAATAGGAAGTTTAACAAGATATTTATTAAGTAATTCTTAGATCTTTGACTGAGTTTAAGAAAGAGACTAGACACAAATGTATAAAAACACAACAAAACAATTTTTATCTATACTAAAAACACAATCAACATAGTCTATGTATAGGGCAAGAACAGCTAACTCTCTATACTCTCCTAAAAACTTATCAAAGTATTTAATTAAATCTAGTTAACATTTAGGTTAAACTTTTTGAGAATATTACTGTTTACAATGTAAAGATAAACTTCTTTTACCAAACTGAGGGCTTGAGAGAGAGAGAAAGCTAACCAAGAGATCACAGTAATATATACTAAATTTTATAATACTACATCCTCAGGATATTTATGCCACCTTAGGCACTTTGATCAATCCCACTGAAATATAAGTACATACACGTCACATTTGAGTATGATTTTGTTGACATTCTTGCTCAACATGCAGTATTATACAATATCTCCTATGGGCAAAAAAAAAAAGGAACAAAGGTAACAAGAATAATATGGACTTAATGGCTTTCTTGTTCATGTTTTATGTGAAACCTGCACATACACAAAATAAAGGATAAATTCAGAACAAATACTATTGTAATACAAACTAAAAATAAATGGCATATTCATATACCACAACATTAATTGACGTAATTGTAATTTCAAATAAACAATTATTTTATGTGACATTTATCAGTGTGATCAATGCTCATAGGTAATTGTCTAATGTAGCAAGACACATGCTAGAACTACTGAAACTGCTGGGATGGATTTATTATTATATATTTATTTTAATATTGATGTTTGTTTAGATTAAATTTATATTTAGAAACGTACATAGCTTATACTTTTAAATATATATTGCAAACTTTCCGCCTATTCTCTAAAGTTGCAGAAGATTCTCGAGTGTAAGAATCAACAATATATGTATGTAAGTAAATGCTCAATGTAGCTTTGTATTGTTACATAATCTGAATTTTCTATAAACTCTCCACATGCCTATAAATATAATCAATGCGACATGCAAAAAAAAAAGCAGTATCTATTATTAGTTTGCTAGAGTCAGTGTGCTATAAACTTCGGAAGCTATAACTATAATTGTGATCAGCACTTATCAATCGGAAAACTTCAGATATTTGACCAGGAGCATTTGCAAAGGTCGAACATTACAAATCATTTAAATTCAGTGGATTCTCAAAGGACGTTAGTATTTTTTACGAAAACATTATATACCTCCATGGTGGAAAACTCGGCATGTGTGGCTGATGAATAATGAAGGACAAAGCTAGCTAGCTCCCTGTTAAGCAAATTATATCTACATCAACTCATAATTAACTTGCTCATCGTGAACCCTCAATAAAATAAAGGAAGTTCCAGACTAGAAAGAAAATTTTATATTGCTTGTAAGTTTGTATATAAATCATTGTGTGTAATAACTATTTGTAATAACTGTTATTGTAAATTGCATTGTTGTTTGTATATTAAAACATAATTGTATTACAAAAAACTGTGTGCATCAATCTTTTTGGCAAATATCATAAATTCGAGATATATCAGCATATACTAAACTACTAAATTTAAATAATCAGTTAACTCAGTTTGAGACTTTTCGAAATTGTAATACGTAACACTGCCCAACAACCTGAAGTACATTGTGGAGTCCCAAGGTCTAGTTTTATCAAGTCAAATTTTTAATGGAGAGTTAGTTCATTCAGCTTTAGTAGAGTAGTGTTATGCAAAATGTGTAGGAAAAAATAATGGACAGGTATTAATGGCTTGTTATAGGTTTCATACTACATTGCATAAATGATACATTTTCATGTACAATAGTATGATTAAGAAAGTAACTTAAACCTAAATTGTTGAACCTAATTATGTCTATCATATTTTACAAATTGTAGTTCAAAAGATCAAAACTAGTTGAATACAAGAAGATTAATCTTGAGTAAGAATAATCAATTAGTAACATGAAGTAGATAGATTTGCCCCAACAAAAATTGTCAAAAAGTCCATCGTGAACACATCCACAGTGGCTGTACCGCTTGCAAGTTGAACACCTCATTATGTTGTAACTGAGAGAATAATGATGGCTGATGATGAAAAGTTGAAGAGTAGTATAGTTCCAGTCATAGTCAACAGGGATTGGAGCTATCTGCTGAAGATCTATTGAGCTCTGGTCTAAAAAATATATGCAATGATAGGAAAAGAAGATAAAGGTTCCCTTACTATACCAGTCAGTTACAAAAAAAAGTATGGTCATTAATTATGGAGGTTTCTACTGATGATGTGGAAAGTCATAACTTGGTCAATTTCTAACCAATTTGGAAACTGTAAATCTTAATCATCATAGTTCACTAATATTAGATAAAATTCTGGATATTTTACATCCAATCCCTGCCACTGAGGTACCTCTGGTTGATGAACAGATTCTGTATTAAATGTAATTAATTAATGAGTGTGATGATTAATCAGCTATTAATTGCCCAGCTCTATACTTTTAAATGGATATAAATGTTAACACAAAGTGAAAATTTATTATGCACAAATAGGTACATTTTGCTTAACCCTCTCCACACAGATCATGGGCCATAAGCTATGTCATCACATTTGTTGATTCACATTTAAAACTTTATTGAACTACTATTTCATGAATTTATGTCAATAAGTTTGGTAACAAACTGTAGATTATAGTTCAAATGTTAGTAGTATACATTATTTAATTTCTTAATTTAAAGGTAAATATTAAAAAACACACCTAAACAAAGATTTTTGTGTGTCATGTGGTATATTGAATGCAGCACTGGTTCAAATTTGATATTTATGATGTCAAAATACAAAGTCCATAGTTTCATATAAATTAGGAACTCAAATTACCAATATTGACAAGCTAGAATATATATAATAAGAAACTATCTTATCGCTCATGTACTAAATGAAACACAGTGGCCCAATTCACCTATTTCCATTTTTGGAAATGCTCCCTTATATACACTTACTTCTGTTTATGACATGTGAATAACCAATTGAAAGCTCAGAATGTACCCACTAGTGGCTTGCTCAGCCATTTTCAAGTATTATGACATCATCTTGTTCTTCTGATGCAAAACTTTAAACTGGTAAGTTGTATTTAGTCTGCTCAAAATTTCATAGTTTTTAAGACCCAAATACAG